AAATCGATTTTATACATATATATATATGAAACACCTTATCGAATATTAGAAAGAAAAAAAAACAATATATTCATCTGAACTGTATTTATCCACATTTCATTCTTCAGTTGTATAATAATAATTAACCCATAGAAAAAAGAAAAAAAATTAAAGAAAAGGCATGATCTGAAAATTGTTCAATAATTCACAATGCAAGCCTGCAAACGGCCTGTAAAATACAAAAATCTTTTATTTTGCGAAGGGCTCGCCATTTTATAATTGAACAAATCAAAAAAGGAAGTTTCGTTTTTTTTTTTGTTTTGTTTTTTTTTCTAATAGAACTTTAGAATCGGAGATGAAAATTATTAAAAGCAACAAAGACAAAATAAGAAACTAGGTGTAATCAGTTAAAACTATCTCCTTTCAGCGAGACCAACTTTCCTGAATCTGAACCTGAATCTCAACTCACTGACACGTCTGCAACAATCCACCTCTACCAAGTGTAGGTGACACTCGCTGTTGATTGCTCTTTCAAATTTTCTTTTTTTTTTTTCTTTTTTTACAATTAATTTTTGCCAACAAATATTCGACGTTTTATTCCTTTCTGCGAAACTTGCAATAATACAATAATTAAAAAAAAAAACAAACAAACCCAAGAATAACAAAAAATAAATAATAATTACGTATACGTTTTTTAACGAGATAAATTTGAAAGAGCACACATATTCTTGATCGTTCTTGTAGTTGATTTGTACTTCAATTTTGTTTCCTTACTTACTCCTTTGTTTTATACGTTACAAAAAAAAAAAAAGAGAAAAGAAATATATTGCAGTTCAATTAAGTTTACAATTAAATGAAATTTTGTAACGATGATGATTTATGTTATTGATTTTTGTTGATCTCATCGTTTTTAAATAAAATTGTTATCTTATTGTACTGCAATTGTCGTGTATAGTTATCGAATAATATGTTTGGTGTTTTCAGTGCTTATTAGTACTGTATATTATTCGTGTTTATTTTTCATTTTCAATTTTTCATACAAATCTAATACATATATGTATTCCACGTTTTTAAAAGTTTTTAGTATTTTTGTTTGCTCTATAATTGAAAATTATTATCAAGACGAATTATATTTTATTACTGAAACATGCCGCAATTAATAATTTCAAAATTAAAAAATATAAATACATATATATTCAATTATTGATTTATGTATTTATTGTGTGGTCAATCTAATTAAAAAAAGAAACACGGAATATATATATCAATCCACTTTCCCTTATTTCTGTTTCATTTATTTTTTATCGTTGTTATTTTATTTTCGTTTTTCTTTAGGTACAGCATGATCAATCTTATGTTCATTATTTATGTATATTTTTATTATTATTATTATTATTATTATTATTATTATTATTATTATTACGTGTTTATCAGAACCGATCTAGTGTACCCATAGTCAAGAATAAAAATTGAAATTTGATCGATCAAAAATCATTTGACGATATTTCAATGGTCATAAATTTATTATTATTACAAACCCTAAAAAAAAAAAGAAAAGTAATTAATAAAATTATAGTAATCGTTTATATTAGAATAGCAGTCGTCACAGATCGGTACTGACCTGTATCTAATTTTAACATTCGCTTGAGTTTCCAAAAAGCAGCATTTTAATTAGTTAAACGTAGAATTATAGTAATAACATAGTTAAAATATTCATTTTAGCATCCCCAAATATGGTCGGTAGTAAACTGGGTCTACGTATGACTACGTTGCACGAGGAAACATCCAACGTTGGGAATCAATTAACAACCCCTATTCATGACGACGAGGAAGAAAAAAGTGATGCTGATTATTCCGAATACGATGCGTATCAGGTAGTATATATATATATATATAAATATATATCATTCGTTCATTCGTTTCTCAAATCATTTACCTGTTTATATTTTTGTCCGGTAATAATAATTCATCAGTAAAATGCCAGTTGTAATAATTGCTATAATTTATATAGTTGCGAATAGAGTAATAGAGTGATTTTAAAATTAAAAAAATTCCCCGGCCCCCTACCACCAACATTACCCACCCTACTTTTCCCCCATTACAGGTGTGTGTCATTTATGCATGACAGAGCGTAACAAAAAATATATAAATAATTAAAATATATATATATATATATTATTTATTTATAAAAAAATATAAAATATATATATAATTTTTTTATTTTTT